AATGCTTTAGAAGAATATTTGTATTTTTTTTTTCAAAAACATCCTAGAAATCTTGATACTTGCTAGGAATACCACTTAATATCTTCTCACTATTAGTAATAGGGAAGGCATATATAGCAAAAAGTGACCATTCATTTCTGGCATGCATCAAAGCTCTCACACCTATCAATAATAGTTTGGACGTATTAGATTTATAGATTTTTGTTTATATAGCAAGACCTTAAACTATACTATGGAAAAAATCAAGATTGCAAGAAATCCAATCTATTTGAGGGTAATATCTTTCTAATTATGAAAATCCTAAAATAATTAGATTAGAAAGAAATTTAATCATATTAAATATTATTAAACTATTGTGACCATTAGTTGCTATTTCTGCAAGAATAGTTTCATATGTAACATCCTCAAAAGACAATGAACGTCCATCTATTATTTCAAGATGTATATGTTTGATTTTCTTAATTAAAGACATATCTTATTTTTTGACAAAGTCTTCATCTATAAAATAAGCTGAGGCTCTTCAATCCAACAAGGCTAAAACTTTGTGATTTTTTGGTCCTAAATACACTTCTATTATAAAACAAGATGAGAGATCAGAGGAGAGAATAGGACCTTTATTAGATGTTGCTTATGATTCCAGCCACAAGGTCCTTTTTGTAGCTGGAACAACTTGTTTTTGATACATTATCTTTTTTGGCAATTGTGCTTCTTATTTTATAATTGCATTGCTTCTTTGGACAATGTTGAGCAGTGTATCTAACTTTTTCATAATATAAACATAAATCCTTTTGATGATGTTGAATTTTTTCTTACCCTGTAAAGGATTTAAAACGTACCATATCAATTTGCAGTTCTAGCCTTGATGAATAAGTTTTAAAAAACTTAGGAACTAAAGGTCATTACTTGACTTGTTCATCTCTAGCCAAGTCTTTCTTCTTAACATCTTTCAAATAATCTATTATCACATGTAATAGCTTGAACAATGAATTATTTCAAAGATTCTACCTTTGACAATGTCAGTAACAAGTCTTTGATACTATCCTTTAATCCATATTAAAATTGATTGATAAGAGCTTTGTCATTCCAGTCCATGTCACAAGTAAGGTTTTGGAATTCAACAATATATATGGTGGCTGACTATGATACTTATTGTAAAGATAAGAGCTTAGTCTCTCATATTCTTTCTTGATCACTTTGTCCAAATGTGGCTGTGAATACTTTTAGAAATGAATTCAAATCATAAAGAAGTCATGAATCTTTTTCCATCGAAGGTGCAAACTAAGAGAGAACACTTCCAGATAGAAGTGCACCTACAAATCTTACTTGAATAAATCCATCAAAGTATTGGAAGGCATGCAATCTTAGATAGATCTTGACTTCTTGTAAAAATCTTCAAAATTTTTATCTTCTTCCATCAAACTTCTCCAGCATACTAATCATGGTTCCTCTCATATTTGTAGGAAAAAAAAAAAAAAAAAAAAAAAAAAAAAATGGATTTGGTTATAAAATTGATCTACTTGCATCTTTTAACTGCACAACTTCTTGATGTAAACTTTAAACTTGTTTCATAAGTATAGGAATAGTACCTCTATGATTCACATTAGAAATATATGAAATCTTTACTCTTAGAGTATTGATAAGCTTATGAAGATTTGCAATAGTTGTGAATCTATTCTCACTTCCATTGAAAGTAACATCCATAATCTTTCTTTCTATAGATAATTCAAAAAAAGAATTCAAAAAATTAAATTAAAGGAGAATAATCCACAGTCTCTAGTGTTAAATGAAAATTTCCATGAAGAAGGATAATCCACTCTTTTTTAAGGAAAAAATCAATGATAAAAAATAAGATTATTTTTTTAAAGGTGAATAGTTCGCAACCTTTAAAATACAACAATAGAAGTGGGATAATCCATTCACTTCTAAAACAAGACAAAAATACTAAGTTATCACTTTTATTAAACTATCAAAGATATGAATTTTGATGAAAAAAAATCCTTAACACAATTGTCAAGGACATGAATCTTCGTGAAAGAAAATCCTTATTACACTCATGTATCACTAAAAGAAACTAGAAAGATACTCACCAATTATAAAATATTGAACTAAAATGACTATTGCCAAAAATCAGAAGACTAGAAAGTCTTGGAATAAGACTAAGGACTAGAAAGGAGTTAATAAGAGTGAAGAAGGCTTCACTCTTGCCTCTATATATACTCTCTAATTAAGAGCTATATATAAATGTTCTATACAATCTGCAACATGTATTGACTTTGCTAGCCACATGTCTTAACTTGCAAGGTAAGTTTTCTATATTTGTACCACATAGTTAAATTATTCCACAAGCTATTACATGGAGTTAACTTGTTCCACAAGATACCAATATGTGGTTAACTTATTGACCAAGTTTCTAACCTACAAACATATTTAAAGTCAAAACCGCATATATAAAACTTCTAAAAAGCTTTTCTAAAAGACTTTATGAAATTAATCTATATTTAGCTACTTCTACCTAATCATATAAGTAACTATTGAGGTAAATGTATATGTTCGAGACAGTGGTGGCTAAACATAATCCTTGTTATAAAGATATAAGCTTTGTCTTTTTTTGATTATTTTTTCCAAATGTAGAATTCATCTTTCCAAGGATGAATTCAAATCATAGAATAGTTGTGAATATTTTTCCATCAAATGTAAAAACCAAGAAAGAGCACTTATAGAAAAAAGTGCTCTTATGAATTCAACTTGATTAAATCCATTAGGATATTAAGAAGCATGCAACCTTAGATAGAACTTTATTTGTTATAAAAATCCTTGAAATTTTGATCTTGTTCTATCAAACTTCTCCAGCATACTTATCTTTACTTCTTTTATACTTGTAGTATCAAGACTCTTCATTTTTAGTTGTGAATTTAATCTACTTGTTTTACTTAATTATATATCTTTTTGGTAAAAACTTTGAACTTCATTCTTGACTTCTTCTATGGGCATAAGAATAGTACCTCCATAATTCATATTAGAAATACATGAAAATTCTATCCAAAGAGTATTAATAAGCTCTTGAAGATCTATAATAGTTACAAATCTATTCTGAGTTTTGCCAAAAGTAGCATCTGTAATTTTTTCTTTTATAGATAAGTCAAATAAAATCAAAAATTAAACTAGAAGAAGATAATCTCTAATTTCTAATATCAAATGAAAATTTCCACCAAGAAGAATAATTCACTTTCTTTAAAGAAAAAAATCAATGTTTAAAAAATAAATTGTTTGTTTAAAGGTAAGTAGTCCATAATCTTCTAATACAACAATAGAGGTGGGATAATTAATTCACTTGTAAAACAAGATAAGAATAATAAATTGGCATTCTTGTCAAATTTTCAAGGATATAAATCTTGAAGAATTAAAAGTTCAAGAGATTCTTTTATTACTCAAAAAGATTAGATAATCACTCAAAAATGATATAATATTAAACTAGAATGGCTACTATCAAAGAAAAGAAGACTAAAAATTCTTGAAGTAAGACTAAGATCAACAAAGGCATTGAAAAGAGTGAAAAAGACTTTACTTTTACCTCCATATATACTATCTAACTAAGAATTATGTGGTGATGTTCTATAAAATCTCTAATACGTGTTGACTTTGCAAGACATATCTTAACTTGTAAGATAAGTTTTCTACAAATATACCACATAATTCGCTTATTTCACAAGCTAGCAATACGTGTAATATGTGGTTAACTTGTTGACCAAATTTTTAACCTATCAATTAATTAAAAAAATATATAAAATCAAATTCCTGTCTATGAAATTAATATATTTTTACCTACTTCTATCTAAGTAATTATTAGAATATATATATGTATATTCATAACATGCGTACTTGTCATCCCAAGGTCTAAAATTGTTGAAGACATGCTTGTAAAAAATTTTATATGTAGTTGTATTTAAGTAGAAAACTTCATCTTTGAAAAAGTGTGTAACTATATATAGCCTCTAGATTTACTCTTGATCAATAACATTGTTTTAATGTTGGTATAGTTGATCTAAATTACAACTAATTTTTAAGGACATAAATTAAAAATAAAACTATCTTATAATTCTATTTTATAATAAATTATTAATAAATAATATCAATACTAAAATAAACCAATAATTATGAAAAAATATATGTATATATTTTAATAATAAAAATTATAAAATTTATAAAAATTTATTTGTACATATATATATATATATATATATATATATATATTCCAATCACTTGTATATAAAGAGTTTTCTAATGCTAATATGTAATTCTTGTATATGCACACTATAAGACTTAATCTTACATAATGTTACAACTTATTATGTTTATTATCTTTTTATATATTTTTTAAATTTATTCTTATGCACATAAGACTTTTAACAAAATGGCATTGCAACAATGTATGCTATAAATTATACAATATATTTTTCAAACTTCAAAAAATATATTAAAATTTCATGTTTCAAAATTTTAAGCCTAATTTAAATATTTAAAAATCACACTATGAAATATTGGATGTTGATAGCATGAACAAGAAAGTAATTTTATTACAGTATTATATTTATAAATTAATTTACTTCAATTTTTATGATCAAAATTTTGACAACAAAAAATACACACAAAAAAAAAAAAAAAAAAAAAAAAAACATCAAAACGAAATAAAATGCTTTGATTGTACATTTCAAGGGCTATAAAATCTACTTTTGTATGTTAGATCTCAAAGAGAACAGACAATTCAAACCCTCACTTCACAATTTAATTCTGGATGAAAAAGTCCCAAGCATTGGATGAAGTCTATGAAAAAGAGCATGCAAGAAAGAGCACCAAAATCCACGTCAACATTCCACGTGGCGTCCGCTGATGATGACGGACAAAAGAGTGGCACCAACATCGTCACCGATGGAGCCTCTTCCCGCCATCGAATCCCGCAAGGCTTTTGCGAGCGATGCTGTGAGCCTCGGCGTCGGTGGGTCTGTCTGGCATCAACGCATTCGGAAGAATTTCACAGCGCTGAGCTGCCGCCTGTGGAGGAGGGTTTAGAAACTCGACGCATTCGCCTGAGGTTCCGCTTCTCAACGACCTCACGAAACGGGTTAGAGAGAGAGATTCAGGGTTTTTTTTCGCGACGCGTTTCGCGTTAGGAGTGGCGTTGGTTGCGGCGTTTCATCCGCTGTCTTTCCACGACGATGCTGTTCGTTTCTTCGCCCTTCATCAGGTTAAGATTTGGGAGGAAGCCCTAAAGCGGAGGTGGAAATCCGAAGTTGTGCTTTTCGGACGAGACCGTCTGCCGCTGTCTCGCCCCTGCTACAGCCTCCTTCGTTCTCGCTTTCCCACCCCCCGCTCCTCTTGTCACCATGCCTCCGAAACTAGACCCCTCTCAAATCGTGGAGGTCTATGTGCGCGTCACCGGTACGAAGTTTCCTCTGTTGTTGGTGTTGTTGGACTTCAATTTGTTCTTGTGTGGATTTTGCTCGATTGTGCTTAGCACTTGATGTGTATCCGGTCCAACCATGAGCAGCCGTCAAACTGCTGTTTGAGTTTGCATTTTCTCAAAAGCCACGTTAAGTGTGGAACAATTTTGGGTTTTAGAGACGGACATTGGAACTGTTCTGTAGATTGGTATGTCAATGCCGTTCAAAAGTTTGAGATTCGTGTGTGGACGCAACGATGAACCATTGAGAAAGTAACAGCAGCCTGTTGGTTCTGGATGCACGCCTAGTTACAGTTTGTATTCCCTGAGCGTCCTAAAAAGTTCAAAAACGTCTGTGTCCAGTGTATTACAGTTTGAATTTGCATTATATTTTAATTCACCGCAATGATGGAGAGGATTTACGAATGTTGAACGTTATGGGTCTGTCGCAGGAGGAGAAGTGGGTGCCGCCTCGTCGCTTGCGCCGAAGATCGGACCCCTCGGGTTGTCTCCAAAGAAGGTCGGAGAAGATATCGCCAAGGAAACGGCGAGGGACTGGAAGGGTTTGAGAGTTACAGTGAAGCTTACGGTGCAGAACCGACAGGTATGTTGGAATGGGAGGAGTGTGCAGGGTCCGATTAGGTCATTCTGGTCGACTTGGCTGATTTGTGTTGGAGATAAGAGGTGTGGAGTTATGGCATTGTGGCGTGTTACGGGCAGCTGAGGGTGGAGGCACGGGATTCCGATGTCGAGAAGGAGATGAGGCACTGACAGGCGTGGTTGGAGTGAATGACAGGCTAAGGTAGCTGTTGTGCCGAGCGCTGCCGCTCTGGTGATCAAGGCTCTGAAGGAGCCCGAGCGCGACAGGAAGAAGGTGAAGAACATCAAGCACAACGGCAACATCTCTCTGGATGATGTGATCGAGATCGCGAAGATCATGGCACCGAGGTCGATGGCGAAGGAGTTGGCAGGCACGGTGAAGGAAATTTTGGGAACATGTGTGTCAGTAGGGTGCAGTGTGGACGGCAAAGACCCGAAGGACCTGCAAGCAGAGATTGATGATGGTGAGGTAGAGATTGCGTCGGCTTAGGGTGGAGAAGGTGTATAATCGGAACGGTTGCAAATACAAGCATGCGTTGCACACGAGAAGGTGTGGATTGGTGGTGAGGGCGTGGTTTTGAATGAGATTGATGTTGTGGGTGGTGGTGTGGCATGTGAGTGTATTGTGTGACGGAAGACGTGAATGTTGCAAGTGGGGAGTATGCATGCAGATGATGAGTTGCAACGAGTGTAAGGGCTGGTGTAAAAACAGAAAGTGGTGGAATGTAGTTGAGATGAGATTCGTTAGAAGTGATTAGACCCTATTCCTTGAAGTCGAGCACTCTTCTTTGTCATCAAGTTGAAATCAGCAGCAATGTTTTGAAGTCTATTGTTAGTTCGTTTGTATGTTTGTTGTTTTCCTTTATTACAATGGATTTGGTCATAGAGTTAAAGTTCAGAGTGGTGTTCTGACTAATTTTCAACTACTCCCCAATTGCTACATAATTTCCAGAGAAACTGTAAGTTTCGGTTGTTGAACTAGTGTCTAGGATAGATCTGTGTTTAAAAGTTCAGGATGGTATCCAGCTTCATTGTTTAAACTGTTTTGTACTATTTTATGTCCCAAATGTCCTCAAAGACGTCTCATTAGAATTCAAAAGGAATTTGCAATAGTGGCGTGAGGGTAGTGTCAAAAGTTTTCTAAAAGATTGTATGGATTTTAATTAATTGCATTTTATTCTTTTGGGTGTCTAAACAAATTGATTGACTTTGTAGGATATCCATACAACTTGATGAAGCATAGAAAAGTTGATTGGTAGATGGAGTGGGTATTCTTGGAAAATGTCTATTATTTCTCAAAAAGAGTTGAAAAGGTCTTTGGAAATTATGTTAAATTTGTTATATTTTAACAAACAACTAGATGAATTTGTGTGATGTCACAGAAAGTGTGACTCAAATGAAGTTATTTTTGAAAGATAAGTTTGTGAGACACAATATTTTTCAAATACAATACAATATAAATAGAAAGAAATAAAGTACACAATGGAGCTTTTGGCTACAAAATAGGATAGATGAATCTATGTTGTCATGGATAATATGCAAAAAAAAGTAATTGATTTTGTTCAAGAAACTACTTGTGAAAATATAAAAAAAAAAAACATTAAATTAGATTAAAAAATCATAAAAGTATGCTAAGATTCACAAAGATGTATTGTAGTCAATAAATAAAAATACAAAATATAAAAAATAAATTACTAATATTTATCTAATTAAAACTTCTCAAAAAAAAATATTTATCATGGAATTTAAATTGTTGACTCTAGGAAGAAGGATATATTATAGATGAAATGTGCTTTTAATCATCACTATTAATTCATGCTATTAATATGTGCTTATTATTTTATTGATAACACATCAAAAATTAACCACTCCAAAAGAAATATTAACCAAGAATAAAATAAAATAAAATAAATACATAACAATGGAATCATTCATGTTGATTATATTATACATTAAATGGTGGAACTTATAGCTTGTTTTTTCTATGCTTGATCTCTTAAACTAAGTGATTATGTGATCTTTTGAACTATATGTTAAATTATATCTTGAATTGTATCCACACCTACATAACAATCTTATTCACAACTTCCTTCTCTACTACCACCACATTTAAGGTCTTTCTCTTTGTCTCATTCTTGCCCTTTGCGACTTCCATGCCCTCAACCTTCATCCTTGGGGCCTTCAAAACTTCCACGCTTGCCTTTAGAGCTACAACCATAAGGGCCTTCAAAACTTCCATACTTGCCTTTAAAGCTACAACCATAAAGGCCTTCAAAACTTCCATGCTTGCCTTTAGAGTTACAACCGTAAGGGCCTTCAAAACTTCCTTATCTTCTTCCTTCACCACTTCCTCTTCAACCATACTTCTCTCTGCCTCCACATTCTCTCAGTTCACCTCTTCTACTACTAAATTTTTTTTTTTTTTTATCAACAATAGAAATTGCTTTCCTAAATTGGCAGGTGATGCCAATGTAATTAACTCCTCTTCAAAAATTGGCTTAGAGAAATCCATTGATTTGTTATTTCTTGCAATGGCTCCTCAATTATTGTGTCTACTAGAGCTGCCTCTTTGTGTCTGTCCATAAACATTTTTGCCTTTGGATGCCCTCCAATGCGACCTCCTTCTTTGGATGTTCTTGCCCTCATGACCATTATCTTGTCCGCTATTAAACTCCTTACTAGTAACAACCTCAATGTTTTACCTACCATTTTAATCATTTGAAGGAATATATATATATATATATATATATATAGTATAAATTTTAATTTTAGTAAATAGAGAATTTTAAATTAATATCTATTTCAAAAAATATGAATAAGAAATCATATAGTTTTATTAATAGTGGTATATAGAAATGAAGAATTATAATTCCTTCAAATATGCCCAAGCAAAAGATTGAGTGTGTCTTTAAGTTCTTGAAGCATGATATGTGAAAACTTTCAAAATTTTCTTTTTTAAACTAAAAAACTATAGTATATAGTTAATTTATATCATTAAAGTCATAAATGGTGAGTTTCTTCTTGTACTTCTACAAATCATCACTATAATATCTAAAAATTCACTAAATATATTTTCCACATGTTTAAGCATTACTACTTGTAAATGGTTTGCAATTATAACTATTGTGTAGATTCTTTGAATTCTAATTTGTAACATTTGACAATGATAAAAGATATTTCTTTATTTTATTATTATTTTAATGTTTGTTATAGAAAATTAAGATAAGGCACATAAATGACAAAATATATATACTACTAATTGTAATTGTAACAAATTAAACTTTGGTATATTAAAATCTTTAATATATATTGAATTTTAATCCTAAACTTACATGAACAAACATATGATGTTATGACGTAAAATGTTCAAGGTCAATTACAACAAATCATATTACAAATGATATGTTAAGTTTGTACTAAATTTTGCATGACTATGGTTTGTGTAAAATTTGTGATATGTAACAATTGCTAAAGTATAGAAATAGTAATAAAAAAAAGTTATAATATTTAATATCATTAGATTTTCCTACTTAAATTATTAATCTCATTTTTATATTATTATAATCTATTTTGCATAAATAGCTCTAATATTTTATAATTTCTCAAAATAACCATATTTCTATTAAAAGTCTATCATGGACTATTTGTAATGATTTTTTTAATTTAGGTTTGTATATATTTTAAATTAAAAGATATATATATATATATATATATATATATATATAAGGTGTGTATAATTTTTCACATCTATATCCACTTCATAAATGTTTTTTTAACATTATTATTTTAGCCTTTGAAAATGATAAATCTTCTAACTTTTTATACTTTAAAAAAAAAATAGGAAATTTGAACACCAATAAAAGTCTATATTGTAGAACTGAAGCACAGATCAAGTCAAATTAAGTATTGGGCACCTTGTTATTATGGATAATATTGACATAATGTTGTGTGTGCTCTTACAAGTTGTTCACATCATTAGCATACTCTGTGTACACATAAATGACAATTTGAGTATTTGTGGCTTTGTATGAACAAAACATTGAAGATCTGTTTACTTATTGATGTAATCATACTAAAATAACCCTCAACAGTCAACTTCACAAGGAATACAAGTAAAGGCTTATTTCAAGTATTATTTCCTATCAATTATTCATTATATAATATAGCAAAATTGTTTGTGTTCATCTCCTTAGACATCAATTTTGGCAATGTACTTTCTCTGTATTTCTTCAATTATGCACTTTGATTGTAATGTTTTGAGAAAAAAATGTTTATTTATTTTTATTTTTTACTGTTTAAACATATTTTAGAATATAACCATCTTAGAACATTTATGACAATAAGTTCAATGCAAGCAAAATGCATCATGCATACACACAAACATGTGTGTATGATTATAAGTGATCATATTTACACACCAGTTTTATATAATTTTATCAGAGAGTTAGTATTATTTTTATTAATAATACATATTTGGTGTAATATAAGGATCTAGATTCTTTATTTTTGTACTTTTTCAGCTGATCGTCCTTTCAAACAAAATAATACTGTTTGTTAAAAACCTTACCATTAGAAAACTGTGTTTTTGTACACTTTTAATGCATATATATATATATATATATATAGATACTGGATATTTTCATATACACTTCAAACCTAATTTGTGGTTAAATCAAATATTTAGAATATAATCTAAATGTTCATGAACCATGAGAAAATGCATCAAGTGTAATTGCATATCTTCAAAATTATGATGTCTAAAACATTTATTATTAACATTGCATCATCAACAACCCAATCATGCCGAAAAATAAATAAAAGGAAATACTTTTTTTGAAAAATCATTAAAAAAAATAAAAAACTAAAAAACTAAACTAAGAATCACAAAAAACAGTATATTTAATCTTAACTGAATTGAATATATATGTATATATATATATATGAATGAAATAAACCTACAATATAAGATATGTATCACTTGCATTGCTGGAAAAATTTGTAAAAAAGCTGAATATTAAAAAAATAAAATAAAATAAAATAAAATTATTGCTGAGTGGAGGAAAGCAGTGGTGACTGGAACCAGATTTGGAAAATAAACTGTGGGTTTCAGGGAGAGATTTAAGCCATTGAAAAAATGCATATATAAATGTAACTGCAATGCTGTTACAGTTGAATTATGCAAAACTATCAACATTAATTGTGATCAAAACGGTAATTTCTCCCACTCACAGAGAACTTTCAAAAAACTTATACAGTGGTAATGGTAATTAAAATTGAAATTGAAATATTTAGAACTCTTTCATTTCCTTAACATAATTACTTGCAATAATATTAAAATTAATCAAAAAAATACTTATACTTTTTTTTGTAATAAAAAACTAAAATTCTCTTCCAATGCATTTTTTTTCTTTAATAACTGCAATGATTAAATATTCAACTGAACCAGTATTAAAACTAAGATCCAATTTGATAGTTTAATAAATTGATAATAATGCTTAATTCATACAAGTGCACTTAAATGAGTGCTTTAAAAAAAGTTGAAATGCTCAAAATTTTTAATTTTTTTCTAGTTTTGAAACCAATTTACATTATCACGTGCTTTTCCATTGTATCAACATTATTTTATTATTTATTCACGATTGAAGATCAACTGATTGTTTGTGTATAAATTTAAGTTAGCATACACATCTGTCACTATATATATATATATATATATATATACAAATATATATATATATATATATATACAAATAAATCTCCTATTATTTTACATTCCAATGAAACTTGTTTAAATTTGATGTATTTTTAAACCATAAAGAAACTAAAAATAATAACTAAGTTTTAGTCCTTCTGGTACATATTCTAATTACTTATTTAAAAAATCATAATGTATTCTATTACTTAGTCTCAACTCAATGGATATACATGCCTATTTAAGCAACTAGGATTGCAACCATTTAATATTAATAAATTTATTCTAATAACTTGCTTTAAGTTAAGGCATCCAAAACATCTTCAAGAAATATTTTTTTAACCATGTGGTTCATAACTACCAATATATAGAAGTAAATCAAGGTTAAGACATGTTTTGATTGATTTTTAAACCAAAATTGCTCATACTAAGGTTATGCTTGATATTTAAAAACTTTTGGTGTAAGGTTATGATTATTATTGCAATTGTTTTAACATATATCAAAACATAAAATGAAATAAAATTTATAATCTTAAAAACTGACAAGTAATTTCAATTCACCATTTTTTTTTTTCTATACACATCTTAACAATCATATATATATATATATATATATATATGTATAACTTTAATTGCCTTAGCTACATTATGTAATTTTTTATTTTTTTAATTTATTATAATATAGGCATTTCTTATGAGAACATTATTGGTTGAATTTGAATCTATTTTTTAATACATTGTTTTGTTAATATTGTGTTTCTTCTAGTACATCTAATAAAATATATCAACTAAAGTTTTATCAACTTCATATTCAGTTTATTTGCCATAGAATTAAGGTTTTGATTCATGAGATTATAAGTTTATTTCTGGTAACTCTGCCAATATAGGATATTGAAAAGAGTATAAAATTTTCATATAACAGTCATATGCTCCACTAAATTGTTTTGTCTATTTTATTTTATTTTGGCTAATTTACCCTCATTATCATTATTCAATCAATTCTCTTACATATTGACATTACATTTTGGTTTTGTGGAAACAAGCACTTCTACGTGTTGCAAGCTCCTTCATTGAACGAAGTTAAATAACGACATTTTTTTGTGATATATACACACACATTTATGTGATTACTAGCACACATAACATTTCTACTAAATTTTTTTTAATACCAGTAAAAAATAAGTTCTAAGAATATGTCAGATTTAGAGTTTGTATTTAACCATACCATTGTTTATATATATATATATATATATATATAACTTATGTTCAATGAATGGATGTATAAATGTGCATATATACATAATAAGATTTTTATGATTCAACTCATAATCAAAACATCCCAGTTGGAAGGAATTTCAATACTTTTTCAAGAGAAAAGTAGTGTTACCAGAAAGTGTTAATTGAAGTGAAATATTCAAAAATTCAAACTCACATACATGAATCATAATTTACACTCATTGTTTTTTTCTTTTTTCTCAGCTTTTGCATTGTTATGATTATATATATATATATATATATGTGTGTGTGTGTGTGTGTGTGTGTTCTATAGCAAAGAAGGATGAGGATCTTATAAATAATTACAGGTATACCCATAAAAACCATGTTCATATCTTGAGAGAATCCATCCTCATTCACGTCAGTTTGGTTTGAATGAGAAAATGTTGCACACAAGGTATGACAAAATATAACCAATTTCCAACATACATACATACATACATACATACATACATGCATACATTGTTATTATAATTATTATTATTTCAAGACCTTTGCTCCGCAAAACGGATGACCAAGAATTTGATGCTCTCAACGTATGAAGGGATGATGGATGGATGGAAGGGACCTGTGATGGATGGATGTGACAAGGAGTCTCCTTCTATAAAATACATTAATACACACTTAATCCCTTCCCATATTGTCATCCACTTCCATCGATACACTGTTCGTCCATATCCCACCCATCTCATCCAGGTACTGATTGGAACACCCTGGCTGACAACACTGGAGGGCGGGTGGGAGGGAGGGAGGGCGAGGGGCAGGTCGGAGAACCATAGACCAGGTAGGTAGGTAGGTATATCAGAGTAGCAATGTGCCTGGAATGATGTGTAAGCGTGGGAACGAACGAGAATGGGAACGGACATGGGATCGCGATGGAAGATGAGTTCCCAATCTGACACACCATCTCCTCACTCTCTCTCACACCACAAGGGCGGGCGGCTCCATTTGGCCCAGTCCAGGACCAGGGATTTGTGAATGAATGTACTGTGTTTTGGATAGAATATCGGGGGAACTAATGGGTGTTGGATGGATGAGTTTTGGATGATACTTTATTCTTGAACCCTTGCCTTCTTCCACACCATGTGCTAACACTGTCCTCTCTCCCTTCCTTTGAGGTTTTCGGGGTCCATTGAGAGTTATTTTTTCATTTATTTATTTTTAATTTCATAAATTTAACTGTTTTTTTATTAGTTTCTGTTTCACATCTGAATAGACAGACAGATTGCTGTGTTTGTTTTCATGTTGTTATTTTTTTTTTGTTTTGCTTCTTTTTCCTGGGGTAGGTCAGACACAAGCAGACAGAGAGAGAGCTTCAGAGGGGAAGGGGATGCGAGCATTGATGGTTGAGTAATCATCCCCCTCTTCTTCAGAGCACATTTCAGTCCCAGGGTACATCGAGGAAAGAGTGTAAAAAATAGTAGGTAGAAAACAAAACAGATGGGCAGGGACTGACGGGACAGAAGTCCAAAGTATTGGGAAGTTGATGGAAAAACATTTAAAAAGAATAAAAATAAAAAACTATCTGAGGGAAGAAAACAACGAGAAGAAGAAGTGGGTGGGTAGCAGAGGGAACTCACAAAAAGGGTTCATAAAGTTGAACCAATCAAACTCTCATGATTGCAATTTGCATGGGAAAAAAAATAGTTGGATCTGAATATCTGCTACACTAAAAGAGATATTACTTCCTAAACTGATTTATTTTTTCATATTATTTTTTATTACTTTCTTTCTTTCTGGAGATACTGTGTGACAACAAACAAACAACTAACAACCACTAACAACAACACGGGAGAGTTTAGAAAGAGGGGGGTGGTGCAAGATGCATGAGAAGAAAACCAGGGTGGAAACGAAACGAGGGAGGGTTGGTCTGCTTTTCTAGGCGGGCCGCCAAGCCTAGCCTAGCCTAATTCCACGTACGGTTTCGGAGAACGGGGCAGGGACAGAGAGATTAAGAAAATTGCTTCCTTTTCGCAGCAAAGGGGAAAGAGAAATGGATTCAGGGGATGGAATGGTGAAAGGGCGACAGTCAGACAGAACACTATTTGTACGCTTCTCTTTCCATGTGTGTATCTCTGCTCAAGAGAGAACAGGAAGATGTCAAACATACGAATAATGAATGAACGAACGAACCAATGAATGTAGGGGATCCACCCACATACGGATGGATGATACTATGCCCACCCAGTCAGACACACGAATTCCTTCAAAAACTGATCTACGAGATCCACCATAAGAGGTGCGGAGAGACAATCCCGCACCTCGGCCACAGGACCCCCACGCCGTGGCTATAGGCAAGGAAACACGGTTGTAGAGCGGATGGCAACCATCCTCGTCGGACTGACCGCATGAGGCGGGGGCGGGGTGGTGGACGTGCCCGGGAGATCACCGGGTGTGATCCTGCCCAGAATCCTCGCACGCTCTGGTGGCTGGCGCAGGTAGGCAGGCAGGCAGGCAATGGCTCCTCTTCCTCCCTCCTGCTGAATATTTGCCTATCTCATATTTGCAGTCCCATCGCCACAGCTCCCTCCTGCCTGCCTCCCCCCCCCTACTACCACCCTCTCTCCCCGTTCCCCTCTCTCTACAAAATCTCTTTCGAGATCCAGGTTTTTCTAGGTCCTCTCGGCTGCTTCGTGCTGGATCTGACGCTCTTAGTGCTGGTGGAGGTGAGAGAGGCCATCCACTGTTCCCGGATTTCGCCAGGGGTTTTGGATCTCGGGATTTTGCAATGGCACTGGCTCTGGCTCTGTGATGTAAGGTTTTTGTGTCGTGAGGGGTGTGGCTTGTTGGATTGTTGGATGTGAGACTGTCTTTGACGGATCATGTCAGTGGTGGATTCTGTGCTGATAGGATTCGTGGATTGTTCCGACGCCAAGATGGTAGTGATTCGGGGGGAGTGTGAAATGAAATGAAGGAAGGAAGAGTTGCGGACGCGGCTGCGAGCGTGGGCCTATTGGGAGAATTGGTGTTGGGGTTTCTATCTGGTTTTTCCGAGCCATTCGGATTCTTGGAATTTAGAGCATAGTAGTATAGTGATTAGCATTGGGGGGACTCGGGGCCATTTGAGGTTGTGCTAGGGAGAGGGATACGGCATTCGTGATTCCAGTTTTGTCTAGGAAAGAGAAGAGATCACAATCGCAGGGCGGTCTTTATATTTCTGGAGACCAGGCGGGGACCGATTCCTCTGGATGCGGTGACGGAGGCTGAATCGAAGAATGGCATTCGCTCAGGCGCACAAGAGTCGGCCCCTGTCTGTGAACACTGGAAAGAATGTTGGAGGGTTGTCTCCTTCGCCGACGCCGTCGCCCTCCCAACCCGAATCTGCTAAGGCTACACACTCGCGTACCAAGTCTGCTTCGCCTGCTACTTCGTCATCCGCTACTTCCACCCGGCGCCAGAGCAATGGATCTGCCCGGCAATCACACGATGGCGGCGGTAAGTATTTTCTATCTGCACACGTATTCCAAAGTGTACACTACTTCTCTGAGGTTCTGGTCACGCATTTCCTCTAATACATTCTTCCCTCTTCTATCATTGGTCGCTAGAATGGCGTCAAACGTGAAATGGTATCGTTGTCATTAGCCACGGATTATGAATGTCCTGTATGATATTACAGGAAATGGGCCTTATTATCAGCTGATTTACGAGATTGGCGTAGATTTGCTTCTCGGATCTCCCATTTATAGAAATAATTGCCCCAAACAGAATTTGTTCGGGTTTATGCTCCTGAAGCACTTAGTGAAAGGATCACGAACTTTCACATGGAAGGGGTTTGTACCTGTGGGAGGTCGATTTACCATCTATTTTGGTTATCCATCGTGTTCTAGGAAAGACTGATCTTTCCAATTCCTATCTGAATGGAGATTCAAATTACCTAGGCTACTGTTCACCCTGAGGTTCTCAAAGTACTCATGCGAGTAGTTCTTTCAGATTCCTACGTCAGCGATATGACCTCATCTTGCGATGCACCAATTGAGAACTTGCTTAGAAGTTAGTCAGCTTGATTCATGGACAGGAGATATAATGGCACTTTTTTTTTTTTTTTTTTTTTTTTTTTTTTTCCCTTTATCTTCAAAATATCCAATTTCTGTAGTCTGAGTACCTTGGCTAGTTTATTATAACGTTAGGGTCACATTCATCGAGCTTGTTTAGCCTTTATATGAATGTCTTATGCTAATCATTACAAGTGTGAGTCAAGTGGCTACTGGAAATACATGATTTTGGAGGAGAGTGGTAATGCACGTTCCATTCAGCCCTGCTTGGTCTTTTTGCTAGGTGTATTTGCACCAAATCCAGTAGATTTGTCAGCATGTATACTACTCTGGCGACTTGATCACGACGTAACGTGTATACACTCAATCTGTCGTAGTGTTGCCAAGCCATGATGAGTTAATATTGTGCCTAGATGCGTGAAGCCTGCGTACTTTTCAACCGAGTAGTTAAATCATCGGCACGAAAAGTGTAGCGCAACTCTGCCTAACGTGATGCTCAGTTAGAAACATGTGATACACCTCCGATATGTTAAGGACAAAGTGCCGCACGTCAGACGTTCTGTTAAGTGAGTGCCAGTTTTCCGCCTTGCGCAACTAGATGAGTACATCCAATATATATACTAGGAATATTTAAGGTTCAGATTCGATGAGCCCTTACAACTTGCACTGCGATAAGCACATTTTCCTTTCCAGTATTGATGTTAGAGCAATTACTGTTATGCCATCCGATATAAGATATTGAACGTGAGCTCGTGCACCCCTAGCAATGTTTAAGTTGCATTGGTATTTGAGTTTAATGTGAATTGAAAAAAGTTGACTTTATCTAGAAATTGCGGATTTGCAGTTGCGAATCGGGTGCGAGTAACAGTTCGGTTACGTCCAAGAAATGCAGAAGAATTGGAAGCCGATCTTGATTTTGCTGATTGTGTGGAGCTTCAACCTGAGGTACTGTGGACAATATCGTTAGATTTTAAGAGTTTCCTGTACACCTGTTGAAACCGGTAGCGTTGAGATAGTGTCTAGTGCAGATTAGCTAACCATTTGCTTGTCTGCACAGCTTAAAAGGCTAAAGCTCCGCAAGAATAATTGGGAGAGTGAGACTTATCAATTCGATGAAATTCTTACGGAAACGGCTTCTCAGAAGCGTGTGTACGAAGTTGTTGCGAAACCTGTCGTGGAGGTTTTGAGCAGACCCTTGCATTCAGAATGATAGGATTTCACTTGATGTTTGTTTCCTGTAGCTATGCAATCCTCAACTGATTATACCGATCATGACAATTTTTAGGTTTTAGCAGGATTTCTGTCATACTGATCCTCTAGTTTGTGTCGACCAATTTCACATGAGCGGGTCAAGTCTGATACATTTTTTTATGTTCAGAGCGTTCTTGAAGGGTACAATGGCACTGTCATGGCTTATGGTCAAACGGGAACAGGAAAGACATTCACCCTTGGAAAACTAGGTGATGAAGACACAGCTGACCGAGGAATTATGGTCCGTGCATTGGAGGATATCTTGTCCAATATTAACCACGCCGATGACACAGTTACAGTGTCTTATTTGCAGGTACAAATCAACTCTCTGTTATTGTTTTCAGTATCATGAACTTGCACTTCTTAATCTCTTTATTATTTGTAAATAGATAATCTATAATTTGTATAATTTATATTTTTAACGTTCCGATAATCGAGCCCAAATGTAAATGCTAAGTCGGGCTGCAGCTCTACATGGAATCAGTACAAGACCTGCTAGCACCTGAAAGGGACAATTGTCATATCCAAGAAGATCCCAAGACGGGGGATGTTTCAGTGCCGGGAGCCACTCAGATACAGCTGACTGACCACCAGAGCTTCGTCAATCTTTTAGACGTTGGTGAATCAAATCGCGTTGCCGCCAATACGAAACTTAATACAGAATCCTCGCGAAGTCACGCGCTCCTGTTGGTATGTGGTATTATATCACCTTCATGATTAAAACAATTTAATTCATGTTAGCTAACTGTGATGAGAAGTCTGTTCTATTCATTATAAGCTTAGTTTCTGTACTAGCCTCCACATTGCCCTCATCTCTAACCTTGACACCCAATTTGATTCTCTAGTATTTGCTTGAATGATAGAGACATTGAATTTCTGTTATCGCTTGTGCAGGTACAAGTTAAAAAAGCGGTTAGAACAAAGGAACCTGCTGAGAATGGAAAAATGCGCGCACCTACGATCCGAAGAAGCAAATTATTGATTGTGGATCTCGCTGGTTCAGAGCGTGTTGATAAATCAGGTTGGCTGTTGGCCGGCTTGTTCACCCCCTTTGGAAAGCTAACTATTTTTTTCTGTACACTATTTGTTCTTAATTTATCTTTTATAATGATGTTTCAATATTGAAGCTTTGTTTAATATAGTAGTAACGAACAGCCACCTAGTATGAAATTTGTCCATTATATGAACGCAGGAAGTGAAGGTCATACGTTGGAGGAAGCGAAATCTATTAACTTATCATTGACAGCTTTGGGTAAATGTATCAATGCTTTAGCGGAAAACAGCCCTCATGTGCCTATACGGGACTCTAAGTTGACAAGACTATTACGTGACTCTTTTGGTGGTAAGACTATTCTGTTCGCCTGCCGTACAGGATGTGTGGGTCCTTAATGGCTTGATTTGTTGTACTTTATCGTTTGAATTGGCTTGAACAGAAGTAGTGGATTTTTTCGGTACTTCAGAGGAATCAAGTTCTATATTGAAAACCTCTTCTGCCAGTTGCTTTCTGTGATGCATTTAGATATTTCTACATGCAGGAACTGCTAGGACGTCATTGATTGTGACTATCGGACCTTCACCAAGGCACAGAGGAGAGACAACCAGTACTATTATGTTTGGCCAGCGAGTACGTTGTTGCGTTCAATTTAAAGAAATGTTAATTTTGTTGTGTTCAATTGGGACCTGTTTTTCTGCTAAATTCATTCATTACCTTTGTAAATCATAACATGGAGTATGGACGAACTGTTACAGGCAATGAAGGTCGAGAATATGGTAAAATTAAAAGAGGAATTTGACTACAAAAGTCTTTGCCGTAGAATGGAAGCAGAACTGGACAGACTTGTTGCAGAAAATGAGAGGCAAGTGAAAGCCCGGATGGAGAACGACGAAGAACTGGACCGAACTGTGGAGGAAAGTCGTCAGCTTGTGATGGAGGCTGAGAGGGACCAGGTGCACTATGATTCGTGGCTTAAGCATGGA